GCACCATCTTGCCCGGCCCACGCGGAAGTAGGCATCCCTCAAGTCCACGGTTGAGAACCACTCCACCTGTCCATGTGCTGTGGTCAGCATATAGAATGGCAGCACCTTCAGGAATCTGTTGATTCCTCTGAGGTCCAAGATCGGGCGAAATCCGCCGACTTTCTTGCTCACGAGAAAGTACGCCGAGTAGAACCCCCTGGGCTAAGCAGAGGATCTACTGGCTCGATTGCGTCCTTGGACAGAAGGACGGACAACTCTTGGGCCAGAGCTAGGGCCTCTGCCGGATCGCTGACGATTGTCATTTCGATCCAGCCAAAGGCTAGGGGCCGGAGCTGCGGTCCGTACCCCTGGGTTCAGGTGAAAACCACCCAAGGGCCGGAAGTACAGACAGTCCAGTAACTGAGCTGCTGCTGGGAAAGCAGCCGACGACCGGCCCCGGGACTTCAGGGCCCAGCCCCCCCCAGCCCCTGGAGCCCCTTGGGGCGCGCCGGTAAGGCTCTGGGGCACGAGGCCGTCTGGAAGGCGGTTAAGTGGGCCGCTGGGACCTCTGCAGACCACCCCTTTAATCTGGCGGCTGCTAGAGCGGCCCCTGGGCCTGCTGGGAGTGGGCACAGGTCTGCGAAGACCCGAGAGCTGCTGCCTGGTCTGCCTAGCTTGGGCAGCACGCTCCAGTGCCTCCAGGGCAGCTGACCCAAACAGCTCCCCTGGCTCGACTGGTACGCTACGGAGGACTCTCCTATATGCCTCCGTTAGTGGTGACTGGGCCAGCCAAACCTGGCGACGAGTCGGAACCAGAAAGGACATAACTCGTCCCAATTCCCTAGCCATTAGGGCAAAGGCCTGCAGTGATGCATCACTGAGGCCCAGCAAAGAAGGCTCTGCAGAGAGGTGGAGACAGCCAGCATTAGATGGGAGAGGGAGTTCCCGATACGACCGAAGGCGCTAGCCTGAGCCAAGTCGGCCTGCAGAACCGGAATCTGCAAGTGCGCCAGGGCCGTACGAATAGTGGCCGCCATGGAGTCGTCCTCTATGCCCTGCAGAGAACCCTGAGCAGAGGAGAGGGAAGCTTCCTCGAGCCGGACCTCGTCCTCCATCTCTTCATTGAAGAGTTTTAGCCCGAAGCCGTTAGCGACAAGGCGTCCTCATACAGAGGTGCGACAACCGAAGGAGGGGCGTCAACCGAAGGAGGGGCAGGCGGCACGCTAGCAGCCCCTATACCGGGCCCAGGCTGAAGGGCCAAGAGGCGACTTCATCATGCACATATCGGCAGCTAGCTGATCCACTTTAGAGGACAGCCTGTTTCTAGTCCTCCTATTGGGGGGAGCACCCATAGCCATCGCTCCCTCAAGTCTCCGGGAACGGCCGAACTGATCTGGAGGAGGATGTGACAAGGAGAGATGTCTGAGGTGGAACGTCTGGCAGCAGCCAACAGTGATTCTAGCCACTCTGAGCGCCTGAGGCATACAGCTACAGCTCATGCAGGCGTTTACCATGAGAACCTCCTTCAGATGCTCGAATGTTGCGGCCGAGGCAAGAGGGGGCAGCCGTCGTGGCCGTCTTCGGGCTCAAGAGAAGCCATACAGGCGCTACATGAATGAGCCATTATGTAGGTAGCCAGATGCAGCGTAGCCGGGAGCGGGTGCGGGAACACAGCCTTCACCAGCTACCTGCTTAATGGAAAGAGTAGAGCGTTGCTGCTACTCGCTGAACAGAAAGAGGGATGTAATTACACCCACGTTACCGGCAGAGGGAGCGGGAGCGAGAGCACTGCCTTCACCTGGCTGGATTAATAAATACGTCACTGGTTGAGTTAGAGACGAATGCCAGATGCAGCGTAACCGGGAGTGGGTGCGGGAACACAGCCTTCACCAGCTACCTGCTTAACGGAAAAACAAGGCAGTTCAGCGTCTACCAGGAGGGGGGGCGAGAACACTGCCTTCACTGGTTGAGTTAGAGACGAATGCCAGATGCAGCGTAACCGGGAGCGGGTGCGGGAACACAGCCTTCACCAGCTACCTGCTGAACGGGAAGAGTAGAGCGGTGCTGCTACTCGCCGAACAGAAAAAGGGATGTAGCTACACCCGCATTACCGGCAGAGGGAGCGGGAGCGAGAGCACTGCCTTCACCTAGCTGGGTAAAATAAAGAAGCTTAACAGTACACGCAAGACGTTAGCCGAGCGGCTGCTGCTAACGATCAAGCGAGATCAAGTCAAATAACACACATGTTTAAGACCAGATAACTAGCTTCTAAAGAAGAGAACAGCACAGAGCCGTAGTTACAGCAGTAACCATGGCCAGTGCTCACACGGCATAGAGCCGTAGTTACAGTAGTAACTCTGGCCAGTACTTACACGGTTTGGAACCGTAGCTACAGTAGTAACTATGGCCAGTACTTACATGGCTTAGAACCGTAGTTACAGTAGTAACTATGGCCAGTACTTACACAGCATAGAGCCGTAGTTACAGTAGCCGGTGCCTAAAAGTGTCAGCCAAACGGCTGCCCACTAGATAATATAATATTGGGAGGATGAAATCCTCTTTAATGGCCACACATGCAGAGCACACAGCACACACAGTGAAGATTGTTCTCTGCACATCATCCTAGTGCTAGGAGTCTAGTACTAGGAGCAGTACATACAACGATATAGCGCTACTGCAATCAAAACCATGCGTTACCGGGAGCGGGAGCGAGAGCACTGCCCTCACCGGCTGAGTTAAATAATGAAGCTTAACAGTACATGCAAGGTGTTAGCCAAGCGGCTGCTGCTAACAACCAAGCAACCAAGTCAGAACACAAATGTTAAGACCAGATAATTAGCTTCTAAGAGAGAGAACAGCCCGCAAGAACCGTAGGCCATGGTTACAGTAGTAAACGCACATGCAGAGCACACAGCACACTCAGTGAATATTGTTCTCTGCATATCATCCTAGTGCTAGGAGTCTAGTACTAGGAGCAGTAATACAACGATATAGCGCTACTGCAATCAAAACCCTATGCTAACAATCAAGCGACCAAGTCAGAACACAAATGTTAAGACCAGATAATTAGCTGGGACTCAAATGCTAATGATAGCTCGGGCGCAACGCCACAAGCAGAACTTTCAAAAGAGCATAAGGGCAACTTTATAGGAGAGGAAGCGGGAACACTCGTCACCAGAAAGTCTAAGCCAAACAAAAAACAAGACGGCAATCAGGACAACTTGGCTGGGAGAGGGTGCGGTGACACAGCCATCACCAGCAACAAGTTGACCCAAACCTGTCTGTCGAGACTCTGCACAGCCGGCCACAGCACCTGGAGGACGCGTTAACGACCCGTAGCTCCGACTGTCAGTCGCAAAGCTGCACGCGGCCAGCTGCTTGCAGAGCAATCCCTCAGATCAAACGTTCAAACCTGAACGCTGTAGGCTACAAAAATGTAGCCACGGTACTCTCGCGCAGCGAGAAGATGAAAGGAACAGATCCTCTGACGACACAGGCTGATATAGCCGGTGTCACGTGGGTCACAGGTGACTGTTGTTATTGGTACTCGAGCTGCGCATGCGCGCAATGGACATATCCAGTGCTAAAGCACAGCCTCTGGCGGTCAGTAGGGACAAAATAGAACGCAGTGTAGGCGGAGCCGTGACGTCATCTTCAATGCGAAACACAAAACCAACATCAGCCGTTAGCTGTTAGCCCTCAGAGCTCACAGCTCCTCATATCTGTTCAGAAACTAGACAAAAGTTAAACAAGTACAAACCACAGACTGTCTGTGTCATGGAGAATACAGTCGCTGCTTTATTTATGTCTGTATAGGCCGTTGTTGTGAGTGTGGACGGTCGGAGCATATACTGCGTTAGCTTAGCCGATCTCCATTCAGAAAACATGCATTTTAAAAGGTTTTTCGCCTGCTGTCTTGTCTGCAGACTTGTCAAAGCATTAATTCATGGAGTGTTTACTAACCGGTATCAGTATGTTGTTACTTCGGCATCATTTTGAAACGTGTATTACAATTAAATCACGGTAAAAATGTTCATTTTGTTGTAGTTGCCAGCGATTCTCTCACTAGTTAGCATACTCAGGCCGGTTGTTGGCCCGGAAAGAACCTCGATTTTGGAGAGTTAGAAAACTGAAAAAGTACCCGCTAGCCGGAACTACCCCTAGTGGAAACGCAACCAAAAACGGGCTGGGCACGGCACGCTTAAACCGCGTTTAATAGATTGGCTTTACTGCAGCACTGATGGCGCAGGAAAAAGGGGCGATCATGTTGAGGTTCCTGTTTGTTAGATAAATGTCAGCACAGCATCTAAAGAGTGAAAAAAAGAAAATCCAAATCACAGATGAGTCTGTAAAGGCTCTGTTGCAGACGGGCACCTTCAGGCATCAGTCCTGCTGCAGCAGAAACCTTATATTGTTGGTTTGTACCCACACAGTGGAAATGCCCATGAGCAGCGAGTGAATAAGCCAGAAGAATGTACATATACCATAAGTGAAGACGCTGCCGATTGGCTGTCATCTGTTTAGTATTTTTTGTGTGTTTGTTTTAGTTGTACTGCTCTAAGTTACTTACTTTATATTGTAGTTAAATTGTTGGAGAAATACTGTTTTTTGTCGCAGATCTGGACTTTGTTCCTGCATCATCTAATGAATGCAACACGCAAAACTGAATGAGGAAACCTATGCGAGCCAAACAAGTATTTGAAAATGTTTCTTTAGTGTTAAAAATAGTTTCTCTAATCTGGCATACTGGACTCAACATCTTTAAAAAAACTAAACCCTAGGTGCCTCTAGCGTGTTACATGATTTGTTTGTATTAAAATATTTTAATTTGCTTTATTTAGTTGTTGTTTTACAGTTGCTGAGGTTGCCCCTTTTCTTTGCATTGTTGCAAATGAATTCTGCTTAGGCCAAACAAACACATATGTTCATATCTGTCTTCCTTTTTTTTGGGTCCCAGTAGTTCAAGAATCTAAATATATAAATCTGTACTCATTGAATAATTTCTTGATTTTGTCTCCTAGCTGCTGATGTTATTGCTGAAGTCCAAGGCCAGTCATGGGCATCTGGAACGCCATGTGTGTAGTCTCCCATCAGCTCCTGCAGGTAACTGCCTCTGAAATTACTTTAAATTATAACCATTAAGTTATTTTCAATCCAGTGATAGTTCTTTCGGATTAATGCAGATGTTCTCATTCATTTTTGATGTGTTTTTTTCCCTCTGTTCAATCACATGAATGAAACATGCTGCTCCTGGTGTAACTACATGGTAAGTCTCAGGAAAAAAAAGAAGTTTGTTAAGGTCTCAGTGTGCGTAATTTGGATAACTTCTAGTTTTGTATGTATGTGTTCATGTTCACATCTCTTTTTTTAGTGGAAATAAATTGTTGATTTGTTTAATTCCAGACACTAACATAAAGCATAAGCCTCTTAATTTAAACATTTTGAGTTTTTGCACAGTTTCTGAAGTCAGGGTCCTGGATTTAGAAACACTTTGTGGCTAGAATTCTACTTTTGGGGTATTCTTTTAGTAGTAAAAGCTATGTCTTTAAATCCCCCCCTTAAACTCCACAGCCCAGAAAATCTGTGGCTAACAAGGCAGACTTGCAAGCTTGAAGCATCTGCATCTATTAGAGAGAAGAATCCAAAGCATTGGAGTAAGGATTAGGAGGAAAGGTGAAGAGAAGGGGAAATCATTCAGGATTTATTTGCCTTCTAGCCATAAAATGGATGTAAAACCTGCATGCTGTAGCCACTTGAAAGTTGTTGTCAGTAAGCCTGACTCAGCGTGGCTCGTAGTACCTAAAAGTTTGATGTAATTTGTCTAGTGAAATGCAACTAGAAGTTCATTTCCCCCAACTTCTGATAGACTATAATTTCCAAATCATAAGAAAACATGAGATGTAACATGAATGATCTTGAAAAATAAATTATAGCAGCGAATAACAGACATAGACTCGAAAAATATATACTCCTACTGTAATATAATAAAACAATTATTTAAAAAAGGATTTTGTATAAATCATGTACAAAGTACACTCAGCCAAAAACGCACCTCTTTGCACTGGCTTTTAACACTAGTTGAACATAACATATACTTGCACTATATTTTTCTGTATTATTGTGTTGCACTGTTGGAGAAACCTGTGACCTAAGATTTTCATCGACATAACTACTCGCTATGTTTGTATGACAAATAAAGAACCTTGAACATTTGTATGTGTTTTTATATGTTTCTAGTTATTGTGCTTTTATCATGTTTTTAATCATTGTTTTGTTATTTTACTCCCATTGTGTTATTTTATATTATATTTATTCCCTGTACAGCGCTTTGGTCAACTGAGTTGTTTTAAATGTGCTTTATAAATAAATAAAGATTGAGATATAGTAGTTTCATGAAACATGGGAAGGATGGAAATGAACAAGACATATACAAATGTTTTTGTCTAAAGTGTAAAATAATTCCTCTTTTTCTTGAACTCATTAGTACAATTACTTATTTTTGATCTTCTTAAAATATAACAGACGAAAGTAATCATGGGTAAAAACTATTGTTTGGTCCTAACTTGTAAGAAGTGGTGTTTTGGTCTGCTCGGCTTGAAAATCGCACATGTTCAGAGACATTGAGACTGTGAGACTTTTTCCAATTGGTAGATATCCGGTGTTGGAAAAGCTCCTCTCTTGCGGTTATTATACCCACAAGCACTATGGGAATGAGTTATAAAAGTGACATTTCCTCGCTCAGTGGCCTAAGTATGCATAAATAAACACAAACAAAATCTTTCTGCCCAGAGTATCCATCACTCTCCATAAAACTGCTTTGAGTCAAGTCGATGCGTTTGCACGAGAGCGTAGTCTGAAAAGAGAGGACTGAGAATCTATGCAGATCCCATTAGTTGTCTTTCGAATAAATTACTTCAATGTGCTGTAATGCTTATGCAACACACGTCAAAGAGACGGTCATCAATTTATTGAATTAAAATCTGATATCAACAGTTAACAACAATAATTATCCTCTCTTTTACTTATAAAAGTTCTGAAAATGTTTGATTTAACAAGAAGTAAAATAGTAAATAGTTTGCAACAAAACAGATGTTCCTGTGAACAGTTGACCTACATTCACAAATCAGTTCTCTCGTGCGGAATTGATTCATTAAATACAAAAACTAGTCTTCATAGACTGTTTTCTTTTGTGATATATAATTGCTGCTCTAATCCTATGCTAAAACTTCAAGTTAATTTCACATTTTCTGCTATACGTCTTTAATGATGATGGTGCTGGAGAGTGTTTGGATGCAGCTAGAGGCACCTAGGGTTTAGTTTTTTACAGATGTTGCGTCCAGTATGCCAGATCAGGGAAACTATTTTCAACACTAAAGAAACATTTTTCAAATATTTGTTTGTCTCGCATAGGTTTCCTCATTCAGTTTCGCGTGTTGCATTAATTAGATGATGCAGGAACAAAGTCCAGATCTGCGACAAAAAACAGTATTTCTCCAACAAATTAACTAATGCTCACTATTGAACTGAATCCTATGTGATATCTTTCATGAGTTTGCTGTCTTTCATTAGCAGGAGACATAACGTTAAGGCTCAAGGCAAAACAGAACAATGATTACCTTTTTATGAGAAACATGGTGACATGTTTACATCACATCATATTTTGGTCAAGATTTGTCTCTAAAAATATTGATAAAATGTAATGCCTCAACTAGTTTATTTTCTAAATGATATTCGATTGTTATATTATAACTTTGCAGCTAAAACGAATTACATAAATGAAAAAATGACTCCTTTGATTACTTGTATAGCTTTATAACTTTAGCCAGGTATACAGCACTCCCAACAAAGTAAATAAAAAATGTAAAACTACAGAAATGATACTGGGTCTGGGTGCAGCAGAGAGGTTCTTCATGTGCACTCACAATTCTCAACACAACTTAATAGTGTTTTTAATAAATGCTGTTATAGATATAAGACATCGTTTTAACTGCAGTGAGAAGTAATGCTTCAAACTGCAGCATAATTGCTTTAAAACAGTGATGCTCATTTAGCAGCCTGCGGGTCACATCTGGCTCGAGCTTAAAACTGCCCCCCCCCCCCCAACTACCAGTTCTTGGAATGGATTTACCCAGATTCTTGGCCCAATTCTGCAAAAGTTAAATGGTCTTTTTGTGTTAATTGTGACCTTAAGCAGGGTCATGAGCAAATATTTCTACTTGGATATTTCCCGGATCCCACAACGGTCATGGGAGTTGTGCCAGGGAGGTGTTTTGTGGACCACCAGTATTCATTTGAAAAAGGTTATGATTTATTAAAACATTTGATCTACTTAAGGTTCTGTATTTGCTCTCCATTTTGTGACAGTGTTTACTTTGTCAATGTAATGTTTAAATGTTAATAAGACCCCTGAATAGATGATTTGAATCAAATTATGCAGCTGCTCTCATTTAGATATGTTATTTGCTGCAAAAATGCAAAAATATTATATTGAATTACCCTTTAATCTGAAAATATACACCTAGCCATTTAGGATATTAATATGGTAAAATGTACAACTATAACAACCTCTCACATTAAGAAGGATTTATCGAGTATATGAAACATTGTTTGTATGATGTAAAAACATTTTTTTTTTTAACATGGCAACATATCTCCCGTTAAAAGATGCACTGTTATTATGTAAGCATGTCTAAACGGTCAATAATGCAAACTTTTCCTCAAATTGTGTAATGTTGTGTAAATATAGGCTACTGTAGAAATTTGATGATGAGTATTCATCTTTTGTATTATTTTGATTGGTATTATGCCACTAGAAATGTACTGATTATATTATTATTATTATTATATATTATATTATATTGATATATCTGACTTTATTTAATAAAGGCGTTTTTGTTGTCTTGTTCAGTCCGGTCAGGATTGCTCGATGTTGCTTATTAATTTGTACCCATGTAAAACCCTCTAACGCATTTTATATTTTACCGATGCGGAATATTTACAGCCCCTTCAATCGTTAATTATGCAATTATATAGAACATTAATTAAATCTCTGAAGCGCCGATGCACTTTTCTGGTGGTACATTAGCCTATCACAAGTCAGGGTCTGAAGTTTTGGAGTTTTGTTGGCTTTTCCATAAAATCCCACGCAGGAAGAAAAAAATGAGAGAATGAGGTTTTTCATCGCCCTATTACTCCTCTGAATATGTTAATAAAAGTGCTGGTTTGTACTAAAGTGTTCTTTATAGAATAATATGCAGAGAAAAACCCTGCAAAGCTTTTCAAAAGCACTAACAAAATAGAAAACACGGAACAGCCGGGACCGGTTTGGAAATCTGGAGTATTTCTATTAATTGTTATGCTTCAAATAACAACAAAAAAATACTGAATTTGTGTCTTTCTTGCATTGATGTGTGGCAGATGTGTGTCCAGATCCATATGAATATTAATAATTAATTAGTATGAATAATTCAGAGGAAAATCTACAGTCAAGCCGCAGTTTCACATCCCTTTCTTCCGGTGATCAACAACACACAACAGTTTGGGTTGGCCTACCAACACTTAGATATACAAATATAAATTAATCGGATTTATAAACCAATGCTTTGTTGCTTACGTTTTTCCCGAGTAAAGGAAATCTCACATGATATAGTTGATGTGTCATTCACAATTAAATAAACACAAGACCAGATACGCATCTTCGCGCAGTGTTAATAAAGAGCCCGATCTGTGGACAGACAACTGCTTTAACATTATTATTTATAGATTAAAGTAAAGCTGGTTCATGGGGAGTCAATTGAAAAAAAAGATGCCTGGTGATTTGTCAGTAACTGGAACTCGCTCTGGAGAGGTTGATAAGACTATTCACAGTTTATGTTTCGTTGTTGGCTCACAGGTTGAATCGGAGTCTCGGCTATTTTTTCATTAGAATTGGATTTGGACCCCGTGTATGCAAACGGCTACTGTTTTCGATTTATGGCCGAGGTGAGAGAGGTGAGGGGAGTCCTCTGCTCACCCTGCTCTGTCTGAGCAGCAACTTTGAACTTGAACTTCGCCTTGCTCATCTTCATAATGTTTGCAATTCACTGGCACAAGTGAACCTGCACTAATTATAGTCCGTGTATAAACGCGCCTCGTTGGCCTATCAATCTCCGTTCATTTAGACCAAAAGACATCCAGAGCAGAATGAGCTGTGACTCACCAGAGAGCAGGCGACACACAAACTTCACCATAATCCCACTTTGGTTTTCCTCTCGGCCTTTCATTTAACTCGAGCTCTGGTTGCTTTGGGCTACTTTGTTTTTTGCGTAACAGTAGTGAACCGGGCGACTTTTAAATGAGATATTTGAAAAATACGGAAGAATGTAGGTCTATGTTTGCTTTCGCTTTTTAAGCCCAAAACTCAGTCCTCAGGACAAGAACTCGTGTTTATGTAATAGGTCCAAAAAGACCATGGGAGGGATTTTAGACTTGGAAGTAATTTACACTTGAGCAAATCTACTTTAAATCCAGAAATGATACCTCTAACATATGCTGAAACTTTGTACACAATTAATAATATTGTATTTTTTTAATAAGTGTTCTAAAATGTGTTCATTATATTAGGATTCACTTAATGCTATTTTCACATCATTACATGTATTGTATTTCATATTAAGCTTGACTTCTTTGCAATACTTAAGTTCACATCAATACCTTTTCTGATGGAAATATCGCGTGAAAACGACATCAATGGGCCGATGTGAGGACAGCAGTTGGCAAATGTTTGAACATGCATGAATACAAATATTTGGTTTTACATCCTGCGGGTGACGTGGTCTTAGAGGTTTGAGCCAATCGTTGCGTAAGTACCACATGTGTTTGATTGCAGGTATAGGTGCACTGAGAAATATCACATTTCACACACAAAGTACTGGAGCTATGTCAAACTGTTTGTTATTGTTTGTAATAACCCTCCAATGTGGACTAGACCTACATTATCAACTTAATAGCGCAGCCATCTCTAAACTTCTTCGCTAAATAGAGTAGAACACATGCCGTTACTTCTGTTTCTGGACTCTGTCTAAAATAAAATGTTCATCTGACTGAATTCAGCTTTGCTTAGCTTCACTGTCAGTTTACAACATAGACATTAGAGCCCCAT